TTTCTATCTTTAAGAAGACATTTAAAATATTTACAAACAAGAGCAATTCATATGAATAATTCAATGACTCGTGCAGGAAATTCGAAAGAAAATCGCCCGGGCTATTATGGCCTTTTAGTAGAATATCCTTCGATTAGATTTTAAATGCTTGAAATAATACTCCAAACAAAATGATAATAAATTCAGCAGGCGCTGTAAAGGTTCCTCCTTCTACAGACATTTGTATTCCAAGCTCAAAGCTCACAGAAGTCGGATTCGAGGACGATGCAGCGTTTTTAAAATTTTGAAGCTAACAAGATGTCAAAAGAAATTGATACAAAAATATAAAAGATTTCGAGTTCCGGTAAAAGCTAAGCGATCGAAAGGGACTGTGCGAATGATTTGAAAGACAAGCGTGCTACTTCTTGATGTTTGGAATAATTTACGTCAAAAGCAAGAACAATTTATGTGACACATTAGTTTCTTTGGTACTCTAGAATATGTAAAATAATTGGGACAACTGTTTAGCAAGACCTTGACGTGCATTACACTTCCAGCTTGAAATATAGGACGACAGAAAGCAAGACGAAACAAGAACTGCAGCTAGAAATGCGAAAACTGCTATGTAATTCAAATCTCAACAACAGAAGAACAAGGCGAATCTACTGTTTCGTCTTGCGAAAAAAGGAAGAACAGCTCGATTTTTGCGCTGCTAAACTAAAACGTTTTCGAAAGGAGAATCAGGAACTCTAAGGCATTCTGTATTCGCACGCAAACGTAGGAAAAAGGGTAAGCGTTAAGATAGCATCTACCCAAAATTTCTACCCATTTCCGTGTTTATCACTTTGATGCCTTTCCATGTCCCCGAAATATCAGATATAAAGTGCAAATTGTTCAAATTTTCAAAATCTGCGTTTTGGGGACCCTATTTTGAAGGCAGAGGGCATACAATCTCCAAATGGGCGGAGCTTGACAGGGTGGGCGTGGCTTATTGGCACTCTGGCGGGTTCCAGGTCCATTTTTTCCATTTAAAGGCCATATTAGAAGACCGGACAAAAGCAGATCTTCTTCCTAGGGCCCTCTTGTACACTATGTAGGTATCAATCTGGGGAGCGTAAATTTTGCCCGGAGAAGGCCTTCAACT